ATATCACTGGAATATGTGTATGTGAACTATAATGTCTACATCGTGTTAGTGTTGGTGTTATAGTTAACAGCACTGATTTGAAGTTATTGTTAACAGCACTGATTCTTACCAATGTGTTGGAGTTATTGTTAACAGCACTGATTCTTACCAATGTGTTGGAGTTATCGTTAACAGCACTGATTCTTACCAATGTGTTGGAGTTATTGTTAACAGCACTGATTTGGAGTTATCGTTAACAGCACTGATTCTTACCAATGTGTTGGAGTTATCGTTAACAGCACTGATTCTTACCAATGTGTTGGAGTTATTGTTAACAGCACTGATTCTTACCAATGTGTTGGAGTTATCGTTAACAGCACTGATTCTTACCAATGTTTTGGAGTTATTGTTAACAGCACTGATTTGGAGTTATCGTTAACAGCACTGATTCTTACCAATGTGTTGGAGTTATCGTTAACAGCACTGATTCTTACCAATGTGTTGGAGTTATTGTTAACAGCACTGATTCTTACCAATGTGTTGGAGTTATCGTTAACAGCACTGATTCTTACCAATGTTTTGGAGTTATTGTTAACAGCACTGATTTGGAGTTATCGTTAACAGCACTGATTCTTACCAATGTGTTGGAGTTATCGTTAACAGCACTGATTCTTACCAATGTGTTGGAGTTATTGTTAACAGCACTGATTTGGAGTTATCGTTAACAGCACTGATTCTTACCAATGATTTGCAGTTATCGTTAACAGCACTGATTCTTACCAATGTGTTGCAGTTATCGTTAACAGCACTGATTCTTACCAATGATTTGCAGTTATCGTTAACAGCACTGATTCTTACCAATGTGTTGGAGTTATTGTTAACAGCACTGATTCTTACCAATGTGTTGCAGTTATCGTTAACAGCACTGATTTGGAGTTATCGTTAACAGCACTGATACAGTAGTGAGCCTATATATGTGGCGGCTATGTTAAACAGAAAACATGCTTGTTAAGATAAAAGGTATCGTGATCATTTTTTATGAAGACAAATTTAATCGTGTTCGATGCAAGTTTATAATTAATTCAGAATTATGATTGAAGTCCAAAAGTCTACAGTTATGATGAGTGGAAAACATCAGAAACAAGAATTACAGGTTTGAATAGCCAGATGAATCGTGAATTATGAAGATCCAGAATAAATGAATAGCTTTATAGTAAATTAAAGTGTAGAGTTTGATGCAAGTTTTTACTGATTATGAGTGTGTATTAAGTCCAACATTTAAGAAAGTGAAAATAACGGAATGCAAATAACCGGAATAAATAGATAACAGAAATGAACATCGGACTAAGATTAACTTACAATATGAGTAATCAACTTATGTGCCAGCTGATTTAAAAATGTTTGATGCAAGTGTTTTCCGGATAAACTGTGAATGAAGTCCCAAGTTCAAAGTGATGAAGAGTGGTAAACAACCGAATTANAGGAAAATTCGTGAATAATAGAGATC